ATAACAAAAACAACAATATATAAAACAACAACATATATATATATATATATATATATATGTATGTATATATGTATATATATGTATGTACATATATATTAAGGAGCTATGATGGCATAATGCCTAAGGCATTTAACTGCTAACTGGCATTCAAACCCACCAGGCACTCCATGGAAGGAAGACTGGGCAATCTACTTCCATAAAGATTTACCACCTCGGAAACCCAAAGGGGTCACTAAGAGTTGGAATCGATTTGTTGGCAGCGAGTTTGGTTTTTTGTTTTTTTTTTAGTATTATGATTTGGGTGAAAGTTTACAGAGCAAATTCACTTTCCATACAGCAGTTCACACACACATTGTCTCCTGACGTTGACTACAACTTACCCCAATGCAATAGCTACCCTCCTGCTTCCTCCTGATAGGTACCTCTTCCCGTCCATCCCTCCATGCACTCCTGCCCTGAGCTGTCTCCCTGTGCATAAACAGCCCTTCTTTTCTCCCATGATTGTTCTCTCCAAGGAGTGTATCTACCTCAGGTAAACGTTCAACTCATATGCCTGTCTTTTGTTTGGCTAGAAGCCACAGGTGTGGGTTCAATTCTAGACCTGAAGTGCAGCTAGAAGCCATAGTCTCAGTGGTTCTACCAGGCTCTATCAGACCAGCAAACTTGGTCTCCCCTGTTTTTTTTTCCCAAATGATTTTGAGTTTTATTCCACATTGTTCTCCCTCTCTATCCACGATCTCCTCCATAGATCCTCCTCTAAGTGGTTGACAGTGGTAGCCAGGCACCATCTACCTCTTCTGGTCTCACAGTTGTATAGGCTGCAGATTGTATGGTGCACCAGTTGCTATGAATAATTGTTTTCATGAATCTTTGGTTTCTTCATTCTTCTTTGCTCTGGATGAGGAGAGGCCCATTGCTGCATCTAAATGGCTGCTTGCAAGTTTTTAAGATCCCAGTTGCTACTTGTCAAAGTAGGAGGTGGAACAATGTTTTGTGTAGTATGTTATGTCAATTGAGCTTGACGTCCCTGTGACTATGGTCCTGAGCCCACAGATTGAGGTTTTTTATTTATATATATATATATATGAACTCTATGCAATGAATTAAAATGTTGTAAGGGCACCTTTCATCTTTTTTTTTTCCCCCCCCAGAATATGTGCCAGATATGACTTACTTGAAAGCTGAAGTAATTTAATTATAGTCTCTGGGCCACCATTTGTTCATATAACCTATAGCATATACAGTCAGGCATGAGGGTGGACTTATTGGAAAACAATTCTAAATAGAGTGTGGCTCTGCCTTCAGAACAAATACTGCTTTATTTCTACCACACCCTGAGTTCTAGGGCCCACCCACTAGCTTTCTTCCTTTCAGGGGAGAGAGAATGAGATAGGGACTAGCAGGTGAAACATTTAGTGGTATATTGGGTCGATCTTCTTTCCATGAGTCTTACTAGGTTGTAGCCTAACAGTGGCTGGGCTGATGTTTACCACTAGCAGGTATGAGGTCGAGAACAACCTTTTCATTAATTCGACCTGTTCATTAATAGAGGTGTATTGTTGATGTTAGGCCCATCAAGCCAATTTTCAACTCATAATGACCCCGTGCAACAGAGTAGAACTGTTCAATAGGGTTTTCTAGATTGTAATCTTTACAGGAACAGACTACCAGGTCTTTCTCCTACAGCCACCCAAAGGCTGAGTTCAAACTGCCAATGTTTCAGTTAGCAGGCAGTTTATTCATCAGAGAAAAGAAACTAATTCATCACCTGCACAGTGCCATGGAGGGAACTATGGAAATACACTGGGCCTGTTGAGTCCTGTGGGGTTCCTGAGACTCAGCCCACCTTTTCATAGTTGGAGTATCCTCCCATGACAGCTGGGTCCACAATGCCATTGAGGAGCATGGAGAGTGGGTGCACAGAGAGGGACCGGTCCCAGGCATGCTGCTGAACACAGTTGCTGATCCTCTCATTGGTAAGCTCCATGGTTTCTATGGCGTTCTCCAAAGGGCTGATTTCCTCCTGAGAGGTGGAAAGCACAGGAGAAGGGCACTTTGCAACTGGAAAGCAAAGACTGGAAAAGGCTTAATTATTCCTTGCAAATGGCATAAATTATTTACCAATCTATAGGAGAGTGAAGTTCTGCTTGTTTATAAGGACACCACACTTGTATGAATTGGTGTTGGTAAGTCGCAAAATAAGCTACTTTTTTTTTTTTTTCCTGGAGATAAGTTACTTCTTGTATAAGGTACAATGATGATCTAAAAACTAGAGCTACAGTAATGATTACTCCTCAGACAAAGCCTCTACAGAAATTCGAGAAGAAAAACCCAGAGCTGAAATAATAGTCCCTGAGTAAAGCTTCTCTGAGATATTTTAGAAGATTAATGACAATGGGACAGCAGAGTATCTTAGCCATTGATACAAAAACGATTAAGATACATGTAATTCATGTCTGGGAGGAGCTTATGGCTTTCGTGGGGACTCAAGATATGTTAAGTCAATATAATGCTGCTGGTAGCTTGTTTGAAATATATCCACAGTGCTATGGGGCACAGAGAAAGGGCATCTAACCCAGCTTGGGTGTTCCAGAGATGCCCTCCTGGAGAAGCTGGTGCCCAAACTGAATATCAACAGGAGTGAGTTAAGCTGAAAGGTGGGACGAGGCATTTTAGGCAGATGACTCAGTGTCATGGAGAATTGAGACAGCATGAATGAGCACAGTCTTTTTTTTTTCTTTTTCACCCAGTTCTTCTGGACTCACAGCAAAAGAGGCAGTTGTTCATGGAGGCAATTAGCTACACATTCCATATCCTCCTCCTATTCCTGACTTCTTTCTCTGTTGCTCTAGGCAAATAAAAGACCAATTGTTGTGCCTTGCATGGCCACTTGCAAACTTTTTTTTTTTTTTTTTTTAAATTTTTATTGTGAAGCGGATTAGTTTTTTCAGAGTCCATAATACAAGGTGGGAGTTGTAGGAGGTAGGGTGGAAGAACCTAATCAATAGGCCCTGCCTGTGTAGGCTTTACACCATAGGCACTGGGGAGCCACTGAGGGGTTTCAGCTCAGAGTGTTATGGTCAGGTTAGGTAAAGAATTCACACTCTAAGGCAGTGAGGAAAATGCACTTGAGAAGACAATTAGGCCTTCTCAAAGGGCACCTAACCCAGCTGAGGCATCCATCAGAGATGAAGGAGGGACCAGACACAGGGTAGTAGTAAGAGGGTTGGAAACAAAGAAAGCAGGTTTAATATTTAGGTGGTAAAACAGGCAGCCTTTTGGGGTAATGAAGAGGGAGGCACCTAGGATGATTGGGGTGGTAGTTCAGTTTGTGTGTCAACTTGGCTGGGCCTGGTTGAGTGGCTGGGCACCTGGATGTACTACTATTCCCTATGATGAGACTGGTAATCAACTCCATGGTGGAATCTACTGTGAGCAGCTGAGTAGCTGCCTTAGGGATGTGGTCTACTTCTTGTATATAAAGAGAAGTCTTGGGGAATGGTCTCTAGCTTATGGCATGCTTGAATCTTGCATGTAGCCATGTCATTGTTCAGCAGTCTGCCATGCTCTGTAGACCTTGGGACTTACAATGGACTTGAATTAATGGCCTGCCATGTGGTTTGGTAACATTGGGACTATGCCATTTTATTTATTGACCTTGTTAGGGCTTGTTAGCCTCAGCAGCCAGCAGCTGTCTGAGTGAAGCGATGACTCTAGCATCAGTGGGCCAGAAGCAAGAGGCTGAGCTAAAGCCCAAGGTCGAGGGGCTTTCACACAGTCCCTAGAGCCTGGCAGTTTGAACTCAGACTTCTAGCCTCCAAACTGTAAGAGAATAAACTCCTGTTTGTTAAGGCCTTCCATTTGTGGTATATTTCTGTCAGAATGGCAGTAGATAACCAGAACAATTGTTGATGTAATTAGCTGAGAATAGAAGAAGAGGAAAGGTTTGGGAGAGAAGAATGTGGAGCAGAAACTGGAAAAGAGGCATTCCAGAAATGTTTGGGGACACCAGCAGGATCACAGAGAAGACAACACTCATTTGGTCATAAAGGAGTCATTCACTGTTGAGTAACCTTTAAGGATTGGTATTGTAACATCAGTTTTATAAAGGAGTTCTATTATACAAGCATGTCTTTTATTTCCCCTTATAAAAATGAAGTTGGCCAGAGGAAGCTGGCCAAGTTAGTGAGAATTGTAGGGGGAATTTAACAAAGGCTGTTACTATATTTGGAGACAGAGAGATTTTTCTGAGTTCCAATTTCAAATGACTCACTGTTGAAATCTGTTTGACTTCGAACCACTTGAGAATCCCAGGAAAGGTATATGCAGTTGTATACGTGGTCCTTTCAATCCACATGCTCTGGTGGAAGAAAGGAAAATATGAATTGCTGTTCCCAGGTAAAAGAGCAAAACCGCCTGACTTAGCTAAATGAGATTTTATTCTCAAATGCCTTCTTAGTAAGTGGGGCAGATGTTTTCATAAAATTTAAGGATTTGGGGTGTTTCCAGCTGAAAGGGAGTATCTTCTCATACCCTCTCACTCTACAGATGGGAAATTGGTGGTCTAGGGAGGGGGGACTCGTCCAAGGTCATGTTCATAGCAGGCCCAGGAGTAGAGCCAGTCTCTGGACTCTCAGTCCAGAGTTTTGCACTGAGATGACGGACTGCTGTCTAGGTAATGAGGACAAGGAGCTCTACTGCTAGGGCTGCCGTCAGTTCTGCTGTACAGGCTGGTTAGGTGGAAGGCCTCCATTTTAGATGCCAACATTTTGTATTGTCTTAGAGGGTAAAAGGGGTGGACTCACAGCAAATTCATTGTCCGGATCCTTTTCTCCTTTCCAGAATGGCCGGGAATATCTGAACTGCTGTACTTCGTTAGCTCTGTAGTAGCTAGGAAAGGACACAGCAATGATGCTGTATTTTCTCTCAGAGCTAAGTACTCCCTGTTCTGACGTCATCTTCCAGTCTGAATTTTACTCATTAAGCTACTAAAACTGAAACAGTCTTCACAGTGAAAGCTTTAGGCAGTGCACAATTTGATTGTATTTCACATTTAAAACATTCCTATAAACCACAGCTCACAACTTGGAATAGTAAATGTATTTACATGTGTAACATCATTTGCTGTATTTTGTATCAGTTTGATCAACCCTGCTAATTTCTTAGGTCAACACAATGAATTATGTTCCTGGGGAGCTCATCAGCCAAGGGGAAGTCAGTGAATGCTTCCCAGTAGAAATAACAGCTGGAGGATCAGACACCTAGGACTAAAACTCCTAATTTCCCTCTGCCTAAAAGAACAAAAGGAGCTCTGGTGGCATAGGGCCTAAGGCACTTGACTGCTAACCAGAAGGCTGGCGGTTCAAACCCACCAGCCGCTCCTTGGAAGGAAGGTTGGGCAATCTATATCCGTAATGATATTGCCTCAGAAACCCAAGGAGGGGTCGTTATGAGTTGGGTCCGACTCGACGGCACAGAACAACAAAACAACAAAGGAACAAAACAAAAAAATCTCTTTGAGGTACTAAGCTCTTAATGTCACTCAAAATGGGATAAACAATAGGTCTTGCAAACTGTAATGAATTTAATGCTTTGTTAATGATATGCTCCTAGACAATGAGTATAAAGGAGACAAGTGTTTTAAAAAGAAACCACTTACTTTAAGATCTGCTCAGGAACTGGTTTGTCTTTGTAGCTGGGCGGTAGGCTCATCACTGGCTTTACAGTGAAGCACTGCATGTCTGAGGAGCTTGTTAAGGAAAGGATGGAGCTGGGGCCATGATGGCTTTGCAAGTAGAAAGCACAACCTGTGTTTCCTGTGTCACAGACAGCAGTAGCACTTTCACCGGTCATTCCCTTTTATCCAAATGCTTGGACTGCACTGAAAATAAGTGTTCTCTTATATATTACCAAAATGCCTTATTAATTCATCAATTCTAGGGCATTTTTGACTAGAAACAACTTGCCATAGCAAAATAAACACCCTAAAAGATAAACCTGTTCTCATTAAGCAGATCCCGACTTCTGGCAAGCCCATGTGTGTGAGAATACAACTGTGCTCCATAGAGGTTTCAATGGCGGATTTTTCAGAAGTAGTTTGCCAGGCCTTTCTGGTGAGGCACCTCTGGGTGGACTAAAATTCCTAACCTTTTGGTCAGCAGCTGAGAGCATAACTTTGTGTACCACCCAGGGCCTCCACCACAAGAAAACAGACATTGATCAAATATCAAGAAGTAGGTGATTAGAAATTGCTTTAAAGGATTATTTTTGGGTAAGCATGCTTATGGAACTGCTAGACTCAGGTAATAGGAATTTCCTGAGTACCATTTGTTTATGGAGCACCATAGCTAGGCACTGTACTAGGTGATTGGAATATGTTATCTCCAATACATACAACAACTTTACAAGATGGATGTTATTAGTTTCCTTTTATAGATAAAGAATCCAAGGCTTTGCGAGCTTAGAAGCCAAGATCACACAACTGGTAAGTGGTGAAGTGACCAGGTAAGTCCTTGTCTGATTTAATGATTGGAATATAGAAATTACTTTCTTCCACCTACACAGATGTACTGTCAACATCTACAGCATTTAAACTAGAGTTTAAAGCACTTGGGTGTAGACATAACAGCGACTCTACTCCTCTTTCTCAAAGGCAAGCCTGCAGACCAACAGTGGCACCCGAATCCCCTGGACTTGTTAAACACACAGAGATGCCAGCACTGCCCTAGAGCCGCTGGATTACCTTCTCTGCAGAGGCTTCCACAGGAATCTTACCTATCATAACATCTGACAAGCACTGGGCTGTGCCTTAATGCTTAGAGTTCACAAAGCATTTTCACATAAAGAAGTATCTCTTATTTTGTTACAATTTTCACAGAAGAGCTATTATGTATTTAAAGAAAATAAATGTATCCTCCCTCAGCTCTGGTAGCATAGTGCCTAAGGCATCTGACTGCTAACCAGAAGGCTGGTGGTTCAAACCCACCAGCTACTCCTTGGAAGACCAGGCAATATACTTCCATAAAGATACCACCTCGGAGGGGTCGATATGAGTTGGAGTTGACTCCATGGCAGTGAGGTGTTTTTTTTTTTTTTTTTTTTTTCCTGGTTCTAGATTATAAAACTGAAGTGTTGGGAAATGAAGCTACTTGGGCAGGGTCACATGACTATGCAAAAATTACTGTGGTCCAGGACCAGGACCCTGACTTGAAATCGAGTTCTTAAAAAACTCTTTGCATTCCCATATGAAGAAGCTCCCCAGTTGTTTCCTGAATCTCTATAACCCCTCAAAAGGAGCTCTGGTAGCTAAGTGCCTAAAGCATCTGGCTGCTAACCAGAAGGTTGGTGGTTTAAACCCATGAGACCCTCTGTGGAAGAAAGACTGGGCAATCTACTTTCCTAAAGATTCACCGCCTCAGAAACCCAATGGGGGTTGCTATGAGTCAAAATTGACTTGATGGCAGTAGGTTTCATTTTTTGGTTTTATAACCCCTCAAAAAAAATTATCTTGGAGAATTTTTCTTCTCTAAGCTTCCACTGGCAGTTAATAGACCACTATTCTCTTCATGTTAGAGGTAGGTTTGTCTACTGATCTGTAGCTGTTTCTCTATAGGTATTTATCAATCTACATCTTTAGTAATGGCTAATATTTATTGAATTTTCACTATGTGCTAGGCATCATTCTAAGTGTTTTACATATATTTACTCACCTCTGGTAGCATAGTGGCTAAGGCACTTGACTGCTAACCAGAAGGCTGATGGTTCAAACCCACCAGCCACTCCTCAGAAGGAAGATGGGGCAATCTATTTCCGTAGTAATACTGCCTTGGAAACCCAAGGAGGGGTCGCTATGAGTCGGGTCCGACTTGACGGCACATAACAACAACAACAACAACAACAATCTTTACAACAATGCTAGGAGGAAGAATTATCATCTGCATTTTAAAAAAACTGAGGCATACAGAAGGAATTTGCCCAAAGTTACACAGTAAGTGATAGAGATGGGACTCCAGAGCCCATTTTTTAATCTACTCTGCCACAACAGCTGTTCATCTATCCACCTCTCTTAGAATACTGTTTGATTTCTTAAGGTCTTTAGTTTAGCCTAAAACACATTAGAAAGTTCTAAAATTAACCTTCTTATGGAGCCACTGGGGTTTTCTTTTTTTAAGCATATAACTGATATTTCAATAAGTCATTATATACTATAAAAAAAGCTATATAACTGTATTCAGAATCCAGAGCAGAAAGTCTATATGCTCCTCAAGATCCCCAAATGATTATAAAATGTACCACTTCATATTCAAGATTTGCTTATCATCTCTTGCCCATTATTACAATGAAACCTGTGGGAGCCAGAATTTGATGGGACTGTCTTGTTTTTCAAGGTCTTGCAAATTTTCTGCCTTTGACAGGGGGCAGTCTTAACCACTTTTCTAACACTATTAGTGGAAGATATTTGAGTTTTTCTTCTCTGATAGGTTTCTGCCTTACACAGTTTCGAGCTTTCACAGGTTTTACTACAGTTCATAACAACCAGCTAAGGACATTAGGGTTTGAAGATTTAACATGAAATGGGAAACTGAGTCAGAACAGTTACATGAGTGACCTGAGGACATCAAACATATCTACATGCATAAAAGGGACTTCAATCCTTAGCTTCTCTGGTTTAGCTGGTGCTCTACAAGGTCCCAGAGCCTCTGGCCATGTTTCCAGTTGGCAAGGATACACTGCTTTGGGGAGGACTTGATGTCCTCTCCAGGAGGAGTGGTGCTGGTCATCTTCTCAGCATTGGGGAACTGGGTCAGTAACCTCAGGCTGAAGTCTTCTCGTCTCTCATACTCCTTCCCCCGGTAGATGAAGATTTTATTCTACGGGTCAGAGACAAAAAAGTAATCATTAACTATGAAGAAGGGCAGGCAACTGAAGATCTTGGTACTGAAGAAGCCACTGCTCCCCAGTCAAAGTTTAATCCACCATTAAGTCTCATTGAATATCTATTACATGTCCAGCAACAACCATCATACATGATCTTTGATAAGTGCTTGTGGTTTATTTGCAGACTTAAGTCACAGCCAGGTGCAGTGCTACTACTCATAGTGTGGTCTGTGGACCACAGCAGTCTGCAAATGGCCTGTGTGGATCTTTAAGGAAATAAGAAGTTTGTGCCCCAATGTAAATCAACTACATCACTGGGCATGATGTTTCATTCATGTTGACAATTTTCTCATGGTGAAACTTTCTCTCCCAGAAAAGGCACTGTGTTTACATTATGCATACAAGCTCCTTATCTCATCATAATCCAGGAACAGTTTGTGGACCAGCACTTGGAATGGCACTTCCTCAGAGAGCATGACACTACCAAAAGAATCCACATGTCTTCCGATATAGTGACGTAGTTAACAGCATGGTACATGTAACAAACAGTTTAAAGTAACCTCTAGCTAATCCTGAAAATCCATTGTGGATGGCAACAGTTTAAAAGAAAATAACCACATTAAATTTTAGAAGTCCTCAATTCCAAAACATAGTTTTTTGCAAAATGGGGATTTTGTGTGTGTGCATGTGTGTGTTTCTAAACAAATGGTGTAAAAGAAATTTCCTAGCCCCAGGCATGGGAGTAATTTGTCTCACAGTTGTTGTTACCTGTGCAAGTGCAAGTTCAGCCCTGTTTTGAAGGGATGTGCTCATCTGATCATCTCAAGATGAGTAGTTTGCATTGACAGTCCCACATGATTCATTTTTAAGTAATGTACATATGTTGTTGTTGTTATTTGCCATTCGAGTCAGACCCAACTCATAGCGACACCTCCTTGGGTTTCCGAGGTGGTATCACTACAGAAGTAGATTGCCCAACCTTTCTTCCAAGAAGTGGCTGGTGGGTTTGAACTGCCAGCCTTCTGGTTAGCAGTCAAGTGCCTTAGGCACTATGGTACCAGAGCTCCTATGTACATATGTAGTCTTATATAATGTTCTTAAAAATCATTTTCCTCCCCCCAAAGAAAAAAACACTTGTCCATTCATATCATAGGTATTTATTGATGAGGGTACTGATTTTCTGTTTAGGGTGATGATGGTTGCACAACATGATGAATGTAATGAATGTCAGTAATTTGCAGACTTAAAATTGTTAACATACCAAGTGTTTTGTTATATGTATTTTACCACAATAAAATTAATTTTCAAAAAACCAAATAGTAGATATGCTAGACTCTAGAGATACAGTAGTGACCCTGCTCTCATAAAACTTACTTTTTAAAGCATTCAAGAATTACTGCTTTTTGTAAGGATGATTCTTATAGACATAGCAGATGAGTGAAAAAAAAAATCTTACTTTCTAGTGGAGGGAAATAAAAAACAAGAAAACAAATTAGTAAACATGATAATTGTAGCTAATAAAAACTCTGAGAAGACAAGACGCCTCTAGACAAAACACTGAAGTCAGTAAAAATTGCCAGTTCTTTTGGAATAGATCATAAAAATTTTCCAAGCTGGGAAAGATCTATGTGACTGATTCAGGCATTATGAAATTCCATCACTGAGGCAAAACTGTTGTTGGCAAGAGATCAGAGTATAATAAAATGCTAATTGTATGACACAGACAATAATTGTGAAAGGAATCAGAGAAGCAGAGTCAGTATGAACTAGCTTGAATGGAAACAGAAGGCCTCAAGGAAGACAGGGCCTTCATTAGGCCTAGATGAATGGACAGGTTAAAGGGAGGTAAATAGAAGAAAAGGAGCTCTGGTAGCATAGTGCCTAAGGCACTTGACTGCTAACCAGAAGTCTGGCGGTTCAAACCCACCAGTCTCTCCTCTGAAGGAAGGCTGGGCAATCTACTTCTGTAGTGATACTGTCTTGGAAACCCAAGGAGGGGTCACTATGAGTCAGGTCCAACTTGACGGCACATAACAACAACAACAAAAGAGGGGAGAGAATATCAGGTATGATACATGAAAGAATAAGGCCCAGAGGCATAATTTACAGTGTTCAGGCAAAAGAAATAAGCTTGGGCTGGTAGGAAGGGCCAGAGTATGAAAGGCCTTGGAAGGCAGGCAGAATTTCAAGGCCTGGGGAATCACTGGAGGTTGGAAGGAGGGAGAATATGACAGAAGAAGTGCTTTGGACAACCTAATGGGATGTTGGAGTATATGTCTAACTGAAGGGATCTGAGTGAAAGGAGAAGTAATAGGATTTGGGGTTTGACTTATGTGACAGGCAAAGAAGATGGGGAGAGTCAACTGATTCTGAGATTACTGGTCTTGTAGGAGGAAGGCAATGGTGCCATTGATAGAAACAGAGAAGAGAAAGACTTGGTTGGGGTTCTATATATTCTAAGTGAAAGGAAATGGTGCATAAGGAAAAGCATTTAGATTCTACTGTTTATTAGGATTTTGTACTTTTTCAGTACATTTTAACAACATGTAATATCCACAAACTAGTTTATAGTTTATAAAGCCTTCCCATATGTTATTTATTTAATTCTCAAAACCACCCTGTGATGTGGTTTTATATCTGTAACTTGAAAAGAAAACCAAGACTCAGGCAAAATCACACAGCACTCAGCAGATGATTTAGACTCCAATTATTTCAACTTAAAAGTCAAGTGTTCTAGATGTTTGCCGTAGGACTTCTGGTAAGACGGAGGACTAGGTAAACAAGTGACACAGACCACTTCAACAAAGAAAAGAAAAACCAATTGACAGAGATATAGAAGATAATCCTGGAGCCCTGAGCTTTGAAAGGAATTATGCAGAAATTAATTAGGCACCAACTAGTGGAAAAACCTGAACGAAAACAGTGAGTACAGTGATGGTCGGAGCTGCGGACTGTTGTCAGCTACTCTGATGGGACCAACAGCCTGAATATTTCCAAGTGGTGTTGGGACCTGAGAATTGACCTAAAGATCAGCCCTGGTCACCAAAGGCTGCAGGGACGACTGCGCTGGTGGCCTATGACTAGGAAGGGAAACAGCAAGGAGGGAGACAACCTGACCTGTTGACTTTCCACTGTCCGGAGCACGCAAACATTTTGATTGTTTACATGAGGCAGCCATTTTGGATATTTAAAGTGACTGAGAGTGCAGCCATTTTGAATCTTTACAAGTGGCAACCATTTTGGATTTTAAAGTGATAGCACTCTCATTCGGATTTCAGGGACCTAAGAATAGACTCTGTTTGCCAAGTAGTCAGGGACATATGAGGGGGTGACAACAGGAAAGGAGATAGGTGGTGAGTGTATAAGTGCTGTCAACTAGCAAATAGAGGAGCACAGTACCCTGCTTGCATAGATAACATACAAACAAAACAAAGAAAATGAAAATTGTGGGCAAGTCACTCCAACATACAATCACCAATTAAATATAAACACAAAAACGTCATAATGCCTTGGAGACAACAGAGCATCACAGTCCACACAAAGAAACAAGATAGAGCAGGAGAAACAAGGGACCAGGATACAGACCCAAAATACATCCCTGAAGAAGACACAGCACTGGAACTCCCTGATAAGGAATTCAAAACAATTATATTTAGGCATCTTCAACAAACTGAGAGACAGATCAAGGAAAACACAGAGAAAGTGCTAGAACAATTTTGAAAGACAATACAAGAACAAAATGACAAAATAAAAAAAAAATTAGAAATGATACAAAATCTACACATAGAAATCCAAAAGATTAATACTAAATTTTCAGAAAATAGGTAACACATTGAATGGGCAAAGGAGTAGAATTGATGCAGTGGAAGACAGAATTAATGTGATTGAAGACAAATATCTGTATACTTCTTTGGAAAGGGATCAATCAGAAAAAAGATCAAAACAAAATGAAGAAACCCTAAGGTTCTTATGGGAGACAAACAAAAAAAAGAAACAACCTATAAGTAATAGGAATTCCAGAACAGGAAGAGAAAAATGAAACCACTGAGAAAACTGTCCAAGATTTGTTGGAGGAGAACTTCCCTGATAGGATGAAAGATGAGAATATATCCATTCAGGAAGTCCAACGAACCCCAAACAGGATAGACCCCAAAAGAAAAACACCAAGACACATCATCATCAAACTCACCAAAACCAAAGACAAACAAAGAATCACAAGAGCAGCATGGGAAAAACAAAAAGTTACCCACAAGGGGCAACCAATAAGACTAAGCTCAGATTTCTCAAAAGAAACCATGCAGGAGAGAAGACAATGGGATGGTATAATATAAAACACTGAAAGAGAAAAATTTCCAACCAAGAATTATGTACCCAGCAAAACTGTCCCTCAAATATGATGGTGAAATCAGGACATTTCCAGATAAGCAGAAATTACGGGAATTTGTTAAAACCAGACCAACCTTACAAGAGATGCTAAAGGAAGCCCTTTGGACAGATAATCAACAACCAACAATAACTGACCACTAACATACATGATGATATAACCCAGAAACCAACCCAGCTATGGAAGTATCCAAAGTAAAGAAGCCTGCAAGATTGTAAACAGGGACCCAGAGACACCAACTGACAAATAAGGACAACTACAAACCAAAAAGAGGGAAAACACTGTGTTGTTACAGAATTTCTAGATGGTTGGGAAGTCAAGACAACTACAAGATGGAACAGATGGTTCTAAACTTGGGAAGAAAACTATAAATCACAGGGTAACCTTAAAGAAAAATGATATACCTTCACATCAAAAAAGAGAACCAGCATAAATATTCAGCAAATACTAAAACAACAGCAATGAAGGAAGTGATAACACGATTCATAAAATGAGCTCAGCATAGAAAATTATATGGAAGAAAGAAATCAACACCACGAAAAAGCACATAATAAAAATGACAGCAACAAATTCATATTTGCCGATAATTACATTATCTGACAAGGGACTTATCTCTAAGATTTATAGCGGAAGAGTGGATGACCAAACTATGGTACATACATACACATAATGGAATGCCTTGCAGCACTAAAGAATGTAGAGTCTGCAAAAGACTGCATAAAATGGATGAACTTGGAGGACATTATGCTGAGTGACGTAAGTCAATCACAGAAGGACAAATATAGTATCAATTCATTGTTGTGGAAGGTCAAGGAAAGGTTTATAATATGGAGGGACACTTTCTTTGTTGGTTGCCAGGGGTGGGAGGGAACACTGCAAAAAAAAATTGCATTGACCCATGTCACTTTAGTTTTGTGTATTTCACTATACATAAACTATATTTAAATAAAATGTATTAAAAAAATGTCAAGTGTTCTTGTTTTCACTGAACCACTGCTGTCTTCTTTACATCTGTCATTTGAGGTGACACTCAAAATAGTAATATGTAACAGGTAAAAGTAAAACAGTTGTTGTGTCAATTCCAACTCATGTGTTTCATAGAACTGTGTGCTCCATATGGTTGTCAATGGCTGTGATTTTGCAGAAATAATCACCAGGTCTTTCTTTTGAGGCATGCCTAGATGAATTCAAACCACCAACCTTTTGGATAGTAGCTAAACACTTAATCATTTGTGCCACCCAAACCCATCGTCATGGAGTCAATTTTTACTTACAGCAACCTTGTAGGACAGACCAGAACTGCCTCATAGGGTTTCCAAGACTGTAAATCTTTACAGAAGCAGAATGTCACATTTTTTTTCCACAAAGGGGCTGGTGAGTTTAAACTGCAACCTTTCAATTAGCCACATAGAAACTCCTATATAACAAGTTGTTATTGTTGTTAGGTGCTTTCAAGTCGATTTCAACTCATAGTGACACCATGTGACAGAGTAGAACTGCGCCCATAGGGTTTTTTAGGCTGTAATCTTTAGGGGAGCAAACTGCTAGATTTCTCCTGTGGAGCAGTTGGGTAGCTTCGAAACACCAACCTATTTTAGTTAGCAGCCGAGTGCTTAGCTATTGTGCCACCAACGGTCCTAATTATAACATGTAGGGTAGGCTTGAATATCATCCTATCATGACTGGGATTCCCAGTTTAATAGCAAAGCTAAGACAGAAACTTCCACAAACCTCCCTCCCAAATGCTCTTATTTCTTTCCACTATTCTTTCTCCCTAGGCCATCTCATCCACAACCATGGTTTCAACTACATGTAATTAAATTTTTTTTCATTAATATATTTTTTTGAGCCTAGAACTTTCCTTTGCGTTCCAGACCCATACACCAAATTGCTTACTAACATCTTTTGGTTGTTCCAAATTTACCTCACATTGAGTATGTCCAAAGTTAGACTTTTATAAACAGCTTATAAAGATCTCAAAGGCTCTGTACACTCTGGTCCCATTACTTGTCTGATCCCCATTCTCCTACTTGTTCTCTTGTTCATGCTTCTCTAGCCTCAGGGCCTCTGAACCTCCTGATCTCACTGTCTGAGATTTCCAGTCTTCTAGATAGCTAATGGCTTGTTCTCTCACTTTTGCTGTTGTTTTTGCTCAACTATCACTTTCTCACTGAAGTCTTTCCTGTGTGCCCTTTTTAAAATCCCATTTCCCACCCTTGCCTCTCTATCTTCTCTGATTCATTTTTCTCCATAATACTTACTGTTTACATTACATGAAGCACTGTTCTACACCATCTGATAATACTATTTAATTTTTTTTTTAGTCTTAATCAGCTACTTTGGACATAGCCCTTCAAGTTAGAATATAAGCTCCATAATTTCAAGGGCATTGGTTTGTTTTCTGCCTTTATTAAAACAGACATAGTAACAGGAGGCAAGTGAATATTTATTCAGTGAATGGATTCATTCTCTCCTCCATGACTCTGTCCTTTCCCAGTACTGCTGTCTTAGGGAATGAAGTCCCCAACCCTATAATTATACAGCCCAGGAACCTAGGAGTCATTTGTGATATCTCTTTCTTCCTCTCTCAGTTATCCAATCAATCATCAAATGCTATTTGACTTCATTACTGTAACTGTTCTACTTCTCTCTAAAGCCACCACTATCATCTGTCGAACTGTCATCTCTTACCCAAGTACCTTGCAATAGTCTCTTCCTGGTCTATCTATACAGGGCCTACCATCCATTCTCCATACCAAAGTCAGATGATCTTCCCAGCAGGCTCCCCACTGCTCTCAGGAAGCACGTAAGACAGCCAGCTCTCTCTGTTCCAGCTGCACTGGCCTGCTTTCATTCCCCAACACTTCCAAGCTCTTGCCTTCTGTTTCTTCTGTCTGGAACATTTGTTTCTATCCTCTTTACCTCAACTCTCAGTTCACTTTTCATATTGTAGCTGAAGCATAAAGTTCCTGGACATCTTTCAGGATTTTTTTTTTTTTTAAGAAACGAAGGTATACATATATTACATACAGTAAAATCTACCCTGTTTAGTGTATATTTCTGAGAGCTTTAACTACTGTAACCATGACCACAATCAAGGTATAAAACAGTTTCATCACTGCCAAAAATCTCCCCATGCCCCTCTGTAGCTCAACGTACCCTCCATTCACAGACATCTGCTGATCTGTTTTCTGTCTTTATGGTGTTGCCTTGGAAAGAATGTCATATAAATAAAATCATGGTGTATGTAGCCTTTTAAGTGTAAGTTCTTTCACTTAGTAAAATGCATTTATAACTCTTCCATGTGGCTGTATATATCTAGAGTCCACAGCTTATTACTATTGAGTAGTATTCCATGGATATACCACAGTTTATTACACTTCAGGAGTGTCTGGGTGGTGTCAACAGTTAAAATGCTTGGCTGCTAACTGAAAGATTGAAAGTTCAAGTCTATTCATAGGCACCTCAGAACTAAGGCCTGAAGATTTACTACCAAAAAATCAGAGATTAAAAACCCTATGGAGCACAGTTCTACTTTGACACACCTGGGGATGCCATGAGTTTCTTTGGTTACTGTGAATAAAGCTGCTATAAACATTTACATACAGGTTTTTGTGTGAATGATAGCTTTTTATTTCACTTGGGCAAATATTCCCTGATTACAGACTCTTACCAATGCCAAATACCTTTTTTGGTCACTTTTTAATTTTACATTGTTTCTATAATTATTTCATTAACATCTCCCCCATTAGGCTGGCAAATCAATGAGGGCAGGGACTGTTTGATTATAATTAGAAGTGTATTTCCACTTTTTTTTCACTGTAAAATTAATATCACATTGTAGGAAATTTTCAGAAAAAAATATCATCCTTCTTTTCAGTTACAACAAAACTTTTATTTTTGTGAAACTCTTTCACTCTTGTCCTTGGGATATTTGCTCTCAAATTAGCTCTGGCCAGAAATAAAATAAGTGACTAAATACATCAATCCAGTTTTCTTCAGCTTGACCTCTAGCAGCAGACTAGTGGAGGGGATAGTTCTGTTTTTCCCTTTTCATCCCACCTGGGAAAAGTCATTTTACTAAAGGTCTGCCAGAATATCAGTGGTGTCCAGGGGTGTAGGGTGAGGAGAAGGGGAGAGTCCAGCAGCACAGGAAGTGGTTTCCCTCCCAAACCTCCCACAGTGAGAACACAGGTCGGCAGCTGCTCACACATTCCTGCCCATCTGGAAAAAAGATGAACACATTTCCTCTTTCAGACTACAGGGCTTAATGGCTTTGTAGACCACCCTCAGATTTCTTACCCGCAGGAAAGAAGGAAAGCCCTGTCCATAGTATCCAACAGCAAAGTATTCAGGCTGAGGCCTCATTGCCTTAATGATGTTCTCATAAAATGAGGCTCTTTTTTTCTGAAAACAAAAGAAGACATTCCACTGGAAGGTTACAAGGATGTTGTTGGGAAAAAAGGTCAGACTCTTTGCTTTGCTGTTTCCAATGTAACACAAAGAAATGAAAGATCTTTGGAAAATATCTTGTGGGCAGAAGTGTTATCCTTTCCTTGGATCTAGGGCTTTGAACAAGTTCTTCTGGTTCAGTCATAGCCAACAAAGTGAAACTGGACTGGATCTGAATTTGTAAAATGTAGATGTATCAGAACAATAACCAGAACAGGAAAGATTATAGATTGACACCCTGTTAAAAACTTAATCTCCCTCTTAGAAAACAAGGGCAATGCATAGCAATCAAATCTCTTGACCGACAGAGTCAGAAACAGTGATGCCTGGTTCAAAGATAGCAGCCAACTGTGTCACTTTGAATGTGTGTCACTCTCCACAGTTCTGGCCATAATCCACTCTCCCCCATTGGGCTCCTGAAAGTGCTCACTAGAACTCTTCCGAGTCTCCCTTTCCAGGGCTTCAAGTCATAATTTTTATTTTTCCCTTTCAGATTATCATTCTCGTACACCCACATTTTATAAATTCAGGACTGTTTTGATATCACTGTGTTGCCCATGACAGAACCAGTTCACAATGGTTCAAATCCCTAATTGGATCAGAGGTTCTGGACCCAGGGTCTAGGAATCAGCCTTAGAGGATCTGTGGGCTCCTAAACTGTGTGCAAAATTATATGCATGTGCTATCTGTGTAGGGAGGCTATGCAGAGTTTTCACCAGTTTCTCCAAAGAGGCTCAGGACCCCTAAAGGTTAAGAAGCACTTTCTGAGTTCATGGAAGGTGGCTGCCCTTTCCTAGAGATACACGGGAGAAGAAATGAACTTTCCAATTCATGCAGGTGGTTTGAATTCAAGTAACTGGTTCAGGTCTAAGTGCCCAGAAGGTTGTGGTGATGTTTTGTTTTCTAATATTTGGTACCACCCCATATCTCCAATTCTTTACAAGGGGGGTAGACTTCCAGATAGGACTCATAGTTAGAGCCAGCATTAAAGAAAGCAAAGCAGGTATCTGAGGGGTTTTGAGGGATGCCCCTAAACCCCTCTCAAAGTCTTCTCACAGTGGCTACCCACTGCAATCAAGTCAATTCTGACTCATAGCAAACCCCACTGGGTTTCCAAGGCCATAAGTCTTTACGGAAGTCAACTGCCTCCATCTTCCTCCTGTGGAGTGACTGATGGGTACAAACTGCCATCCTCTAGTTAGCAGCCCAATGCCTTAACCACAACGCTACCAGAGTTCCTTCTTACACTGGTTAGCATGCCTAATAAAGAATAAACCTGGGTCAAGTTCATTGTCAGAATATTTTCTTGGAAGGGAACATTTTACATTACTAACATCTCAGTTCAATTTAGTTCATGAAATTAATAAGTGAATTTTTTTATGATGGCAGGAGCTGGTCCAGTAGACTGGTCCTTTTTTTTTTCCCCCCAAAGTCATCTTGGTAAGTATCTCTTCAAATAAATTATTACATGAAAACCTAGAACTGAACTTTGATTATTTCTCAACTAAAAATTATCAAATAAATGAATAAAAATGATCAAATGTAATATTTTGTTTTTGTCTGTCACTGGGCATTTAGAGGCCATTTTTATTTTATTGTTTTTATATAGCTGACCAGTGCCTGCAACTAAGTGTTATACACAAGTAAAAGAACAACCCAGTGGCAGTTATGAGAAGGAAGAAGGCAAAAAAAAAAAAAAAAAAAATCAGGATCTACCAGAAGCATGTTACAACATCTTATGAAGATGTGCACATTGGCACTCTTAGAAAAACAAACCAAGGCTCAAAATGAGTAGTTTATTCACTTAGCAGGGCCATGTAGTTGTGAACCACACAGCAAGTAACTTTTTTCAGTGAACAGAAGATGTCAGAGAACATCTGAAACATGGACAGTATTAATGGAAGCCAGAGTGAATAAGAGATTGAAAAGGAGATGGGCCAGGAAATGGCCAGAGAGAACAAACAGTACCAAAAAGAAATACAGGGCTGTAGAGAGGGATCCTGAGGAATGCTGGGGAAAGCTCTACCCAAGCCACTATTATTCCGAGGTTCTATTCTACCACCCCTTTGGGGCAAAGCCTATTCCATAGTCTTGAACTTTCCATCAAGGATAGCCTAGAAGAATAATGATAAAATCTTTGGATTACATCTTTTTTCTAAAATTGATTTTTTCATTTTTATTTCACGCAAGGTTTACTTTTCAATTTTAGAAACTTTTTAGAAGCTTAACATTCCCTCTCTCCTCCCTCCCCTCCCCTCCCCTCACATTGGCCCAGACTCACCAGGAGATTGCCAAGGCCCTCGTAGTCAAATACTTTGCTTTCATAAGTTTCGGCCAACTCTTTGCTCAGTTTGATTGCCTTCTCCCACATCTTCAGTAAAACAAAAGTAGGGTTAAAAGTGGAGAACAAAGCAGCCATTGATCCAGCTGCAAAATTCATTTGAAAGAATCAATGGGAAAAAGTAAGTAGTCAGGTGGGTTGAATTTCTTTGGATGTGCCTGGCTTATTACATTCTTGCATCATTTAAACCTTTTCTTCTGACAACATAAAGCTGCTACATCTGGGCTGCTTTGCCAGAGAGCATTTTCCTGTGTTTCTGTCTTTAAGAACATAAAGAACACTACGTGTCTCAAAACAAAGCAATATTGAGTTCAAAAGCAAAGGACTGAAGACAATTGAATATAGAGAAAAACCAGTTCCAAAGCCTAGGTCCCCAGAGAGCAAGAACATCTTGGACCAGAAAGGAAGTTGGTGTGGGACTCTGGTTCTGGGTTTGTGTATATGTGTAAATGGGTTATTTGAGAAGATGAAAGACAAGCTAACCCTACTATGTGTTTCCCATTTAGGGTATTGTTTCCTATTTCTACCTAAACTGTCTTAGGTTCACTAAGCTCTCTCAGTAAAATAATTTTTGGAAATACCTTATAGTATTTATGAACATGTAAGTTACAGACTAATACACATATCTGGTGTCTGAGGCTAGCATCCCAGATTTAGCCCTTCTAGTCATTCTGAGATTTCATAAAACGTCTCTTAAATCAGTTGCCATAAAGTGGACTCCAAACTCATGGTGACTCCATGTGTGTTAGAGTAGAACTATGCTCCCCAGGATTTTCAATGACGAATTTTTCAGAAGTAGATCACTAGTCCTTTCTTCCAAGGTGCCTCTGAATGGACTTGAACCTCTAACCTTTCTTCTGCTAGTTGTCAAGTGTGTTAACCATTTGTACCACCCAGTGACTTGAAAATGTGTCTTAGATGAGTAGTATTAAAAATGCACCATCTAGTAATTTCCTATTTCATTCTTGTTAATAAGGTGCTATGTTCCATTGCCACTGGCTGTGCAAGGAATGTATGTGCAGTTCACAAGCAATGATAAAACATATTAAATTGATAAACTTTTGAGATCATTATTCGATAGTATTTCCTCTTCTGAAATTTCAGGGTATTTATCACTAAATTATAAAAAAGGTTCTAAGATGTACCATATGAAAACCACTCCTGATCAGCTAGGTAAGGTGGAAGAAGCCAGATAGCAACATCGTCGGACTCAAGTTAGTAGCCCACCCAAGTTCCCTCCTCTTCTCATGAAATGCTAAGTTATATAAGAGAAAAAGAAGACAATCTAAGTCTTCCACCTGGAAATGCCCAGAGACTCCACGACTTTTTGGCCCAGTTCTTATGTTTATTTTACCTTCTGGCAAGGTAATTTAGGCAATTAGGTTGCTTGTTATCTACAGTCTATAGTGTCAGGCAGTAGTGACTTGGTGTGTACCAGGCGCTAACCCAAATCTCTTGAGGATGCATAGCAAAGATGATGATACCATGCCTGGCCATCATCAGTATTTTAAATGTAAAATTATGGTACTTGAAACTGGGGCTCTGAGCTGCCTGTTGTATTCTCCTTTAGGCTAAGTGTCCCAAAGGTAACTGATCTTTATTACCTTTCAAACCTTAATCTATGCATTCATTTTCTCTCCCATCTAAGGTTCAGAATTCAAAGACACACAAGGGGTTAATAAAAAAAACAAGTCATTTTCCTCTTCCCTCAGTACAAAAACAAACAACCCAACACTCACTTTGCCTTTGTCAAAATATGCTATGATTTCTTGATAAAGCTTCTCTTTAAGCTCTTGCTGGGTATAAACATAATAACTGTCCCTCTGAAGCAAATGGGGTACACAGGGCTTGTCAGACCACTAAAAAAAAAAAGAGAGAGATACATTAATATAATAAACATTTGGTTAAAAAAGATTAGGGAAATATTATATATAAATATGTATGTATAAAAATGACTCATTCATATTTTATCTTATTTATTAAACACAAAAATCACACACACACACACACACACACCATCTCCCAAACAAATATCAAATCTAAAGGAGATTGGCATAACATAGTGCACAAAGACATTGTTCTACATCCTACTTTGGTGAGTAGTGACTGGGGTCTTAAAAGCTTGCGATCAGCCATCTAAGGTGCCACTACTATTCTCTCCTCATCCGAAGCAAAGAAAATCAAAAGATGCATAGAAATAATTAATCCAAGGGACTAGCAGACCATGTGAACCTCAGCCTCCATGACCCTGAGACCAGAAGAACTAGATGGTGCCCAGCTACTACTGACAACTACTCTGAAAGGGATGACAATAAGAGATCCTGGATAGAGTAGGAGAAAAATGTGGAGCAAACCTCAAAATAATAAAAAAGATCAGGCTTACTGGTCTGATAGAGATGGTTACAACTCCCAAGACTATGGTCCTTAGTCATCCTTTAGGCCTGGAACTGAACTCACACCCATGGCTCAACTTTCAACCAAATAATAGACAGGCCTGAGGTGAACAATAATACCAGGGTGCTATGCATTCCTTAGATCAATCAAACATAAGGGGTGAAAAGGGCAGCATTCACCCAGGGATAAAGCTGAGAAGTCAGAAATGAATAGGAAAGAAAGACAAAGGGAAATGGTAACCATAGAGAGGAAGTGGGGAGAGTGCTGTTACATTATAGGGATTGCAATCAATGTCATGAAACAAAATGTGTATGAACTGTTGAATGGAAAACTTATTCTATAAACTTTCACTGAAATCACAATAAAAAGTTAAAAAAAAAGTCTAACACAGAAACACTAGAGGCATTCCCATGAAAATCAACCAAATGACTACTCTATTGAAGGTATCATTAATACAATCCAATAAAAGAAAATTAGAAATACATAAAAATGAGAAGAGGTAAACTATCATTATTTGCAACTAATAAAATTGTATTTCTTGGTATCCAAGGAAGTTAAATTAAAATCCATATAAATAATAAAAGAAAAAAAAAAAAAACTCACTGTCATTGAGTCGATTCCAACTCATAGCAAACCCATTTGGATTTCTGAGGAAGTAAATCTTTAAAGAAGTATATCTCCCACTCTAGAACTATTAATTTCTAAACGTATTAATTTTTTATCTCTCTAAAAGAAGTTAATAGAGGGATAAAAATTAATACATTTAGAAACTAATAGTTCTAAGATAGACAGACAAGTAGTTGAAAATCACACACAGATGACAGACAAATAAGACTCCAACAAAAATAAATCCAAGAAAATAAAATATTTAGGAGTTAATGTAATAAGGAATATGCCAGACTTGTATGTGGAAAACCTTAAAATATGGCGGGCACAAAGCAGACTGGAACAAATGAAAAGTCATACCATGTTTTCAGATAAGAAAACATGAAAATTCTCACTAAATTACTTTTAAAATTTCATAATTCCAAAGTTCACATGGAGAAAAAAAATAGGTAGGAAAACGCTGAAAAACAAAAGCAATGAGAAATAAATACTATATCATAAAACATACCATAAAAATTAGTAATTCAAAAGAGTGTGGTACTGGTCTATGAACAAATAGAGACCCATGCAATAGCATATAAAATCTAGAAAGAGAACACCTGCTAATATACGAATTTAGTACATAATAAAGATAGTGTCTCATACCACTGAGCAGCTATCTAGGGGAGAACGTTAGACCCACATTTCATACCTTACACCAAATACCATAAAAATACCAAACCTGGAATGTTTACAAGTGGCAACCATTTTGGATTTTAAAGTGATAGCATTCCCATTCAGATTCCAGGGACCTAAGAACAGGCTCTGTTTACCAGGGTCGGTAAGGACATACAAGAGGCTGACAAAGGAAAAGAGACAGGTGGTGAGTGAATAAGTGCTGTCAACTAGTGAATAGAGGAGCACAGCACAGTACCCTGCCTGTATAGATAATAAACAAACAAAATAAAGAAAATGAAAATTGTGGGCAAGTCACTCCAACATACAATCACCAATTAAATATAAACACAAAAATGTCTCAATGCCTCGGAGACAACAAAGCATCACAGTCCACACAAAGAAGCAAGATAAAGCAGGAGAAACAAGGGACCAGGATACAGATCCAAAACACATCCCTGAGGAAGACGCAGCACTGGAACTCCCTGATAAGGAATTCAAAAGAATTATATTTAGGTTATCTTCAAAGGATTGAGAGACAGATCAAGGAAAAC